CCAGCTAAAAAAATATCAAATCCCAACATTCTCAGGTGGTTGAGACTCACAGAGCTCCAGCAAAGTCCATGGGATTGCTCTGCTTCGGGAGAACTGGGAATCCAGTCCACATTCCAGTCTGGATTGTTTAAAAGCATAAAAACACAGAATGGTTTGGGTTGGGAGGGACCTTAAAGCCCATCCAGTGCCCCCCCTGCCATGGGCAGGGACACCTTCCACCAGCCCAGGTTGCTCCAATGTTTCCTTGGGCACTTCCAGGGATCCAGGGGCAGCCACAGCTTCTCTGGGAATTCCATCCCAGCCCCTCCCCACCCTCACAGGGGAGAATTCCTTCTTAGTATAAAAAAGAGTATTTACTCTACAGTTTCAGCACAAAATAATAGCTTTTTTTCTTTTTTTTTTTTGCCAATAATTTGTCCTGGGACTTTAAGAAGACTCCAAAAACGAGTGAATATCCAATAAGGGGGAAGAAAAACTTGTTGCAGATCCCAGTGGTATTTGGGAAGGAATTGTTTGGGAGAAAACCCACACAAAGGTGTGTGAAATCATTGCTCCAACTTTTTTAGCCTATATTTGGTTACCATAAGGCACTTAATAAAGTGGAATTTATTTGGCTTGGGAATACACCCCTGCTCTGATGTTTGATCTCACAGAGAGGAAACAGCAAATAAATTCACTAATAACAGGGAAATTAAGCAGGTTTCCTTCTCTCTGTCCAGCTGGACCAGGAATATTTTGCAGCACAAACAATCCATGTAAATGACTGCTTACTTAGTCCTTTATGGGAATGTAATCCAGCTGGAATGGGCAGCAGGGCCACAAATTAAGTGCTCTGTGTAAACTGATGCCTCAGAGCTTTTTGGATTTTCTAACTTTTGTAGATTTTAGAAGCAGTCGTGTAGTAAATGTAGATTTTGATGTACAAAACCAATGTACTCCATATAAAACACACAGTGCACGTGATGCAGAAATAAAAATCTCAAGTAAATGTGAGGTATAAATACAGTTGTGATTACAGTGTAAGGAGGGGTTCCCTACCCAAAATGAGCTGTAAACCACAGCAAGGAGAGGGGCATTTCTGCCCTGATGGAAGAGAATGATCTCACTTGTGTCAGGGTGGACCCCAAATGTCACTGCTGACTGTTGCTGAAGCACAGGATGTGGTTTGGCTGCTGTTTTTCCCTGGATTTTGCCAGGATTTCTGGGGTGCACAGGAGTGGGGATGATGCCTTTTCCTTCCAGCCACGGAGCTCCCACAGGTCACTCCTTTCACGCTGGTTTTGGAACTGGAGGTTTTTGGTTCAGCTCTGGGATGTGTTTCCTCAGGATAAAACAATCCTGAATCCTTTCTGGCAGCTGGAAAAGTCTCTGCAAATCTAACGTGGGGTGTACAGAACATAAAGTTTGTTCTTTGGGTTAAAGGTGGGGAAAGTTCTCCTGGAGCTGGGAGAGCAGGACTGGAAAATTCCCAGCTGGGTTCTGATCCATCCCAGGGAGTGAAATGGGATAAACCAGCCAGGATGAACTGCACTCACCTCCGAGGGCAAAGCCTGGCAAAGATGCCTCATCAGGTAAAATCTGAGGCTAATTATGCTTTTAGGGGACACGACTGGTGGGTTTTCCTGGGTGGGGGGAGTGGACCAGCAAAGCTGGAATTCGCAGAAGACCCAGAAAAGCCCAAACAGGGCTTTGCAAAGGGATTCCACTGGGCAGCTCCCAACCCTGCTGCACTTCCACGTCCCAGCTGCCTTTCTTCACTTCACTACCCGGGAGGTTCCAGGAATTATTTACAAATGATGGCTTGGAATTCTCACTGACCACTTCTTGAGCACCCAAGAGATCTGAAAACTGCTCTCAATGACACCCCTTTTCTGCTCTAAATGGCCCATTACACTTCATTAATTAACCCATTTATTTTTAAGTTTATGTGTTAAATTAGAATTCTTTTATATATTCATTAATATATTAATACATAATATACATATTAGACAGAGCACTGCAAGATCTAAATCTCTTTAATTAAGGCTTAAGCAAACTCATACCCCCCCCCACTGCCCTGGGGGCTTCAAGAAGGGCCTGGAATGGGCTGGAGGTCAAAGCACATGGATAAACTAATTCCAGGCCACAGGTTCTCCAAGAGATATAATCACCTGCCAGAGAGAAAGGAAAGAAGGGACAGAGCCCACTTATTTTCTCATTTCAGATCTCAGATAAGGCTGACATGCAACTGTGCACCAAATAATGAAAAGTGGGATAGAAGCTAAAATTTTCCCCAGATTTTCCCTGGAGAAAGTTTATCTCACTTGGGCATTTTCTAACCACCCATCCTCTCCTTCCCTTTCTCCCCAGACAGGTTTGCCTCAGATCTTGCCCCCGGGAACAACCTTTCCCCTCAAGGTTGGGTGTTTGGGTGTTAATGCCACCAAGATTTGCCTGGTGCCGTCCCCATGCTAAAGAAAGGAATCTACAACATCTAATTCTTTTCCACCGCTTCTCCCAGGATTAACTGGGGAAACTTCACAATCAGAAAACTTTCTTAAGAAAAAAAAATAATCGAACCTCTGAAATTCGAGTCGGTGCAGAAATTCATTTCTCTGTCAGTACCAGCACAAACAGGTTTTCTCATCCTTCTCCCTGGGTATTGAAAGTCATTCATTTCAAAATAGATCTGTAGATGTATTGCCATTTTAAACTGTGAAACAATGCACCAGACAGACAGCAAACTGGCTCTGGACACTAAATAAATTTGCTGCCTTATTGACTGAGGTGAATACAAAGAGATGAAGCACTAAATCCTGCCAGCTCTAATCTGAAGTTGTCATGCCAGCAAAAATTATAACCAACTCAGCCCAAGGAAATTCTGCCCCCGAAATATTCTTAATAAACACGCTGGGGAAGGTTTTTCTCTTTGCTAAAACTCTGGGAATCCACAACTGGCTGAAGGAGGGTTGTGGTTAGGAGGGGTCAGGCTCTTCTGCCTCAAGTGACAGGAGGAGAGGAAATGGCCTTAAACTTCAGAGGGTGGTGGGAAAGGAGCTGCATCCCACTGGGATCCGGGCACTGGAGGTGTCCCCAGGGCTCAGTGCTGGGCCCAGCCCTGTTTAATGTCTTTAGTGATGATCTGGATGAGGGGACTGAGTGAACCATCAGCAAATCTGCAGATGGCACCATGTTGGGGGGAGTGTGGATCTGCTGGAAGGCAGGAGGGCTCTGCAGAGGGACCTGGCCAGGCTGGATCCATGGGCTGATTCCAACGGGATGAGGTTCCCCAAGGCCAAGGCCGGGTCCTGCCCTTTGGCCACAACAACCCCCGGCAGCCCCCCGGGCTGGGCCA